ATACAGTTGTCCCTTGATAATCCGACAGGTATGGGACCAAAGGTGTGTCAGATTACCAAAAGTGTCCGGATTACCGAAAATAATTACATATTTCGCATTGTTTTGCTAGCAGTAACTTACAATATTCTCTACTCCAACTGTTCGAACAGAACTGCTCACATAAAACACACGAAATGTGTGTCATCGAGTAAGAATTGGATGGGGAGATTCACATCGCGACATGCTTCTGTGCAAGCAGACACATAACGGGGATGGGTACCTTGACGGGAGGTGCGTCGGACTACTGAGCATGTTGGATTAAAAAACGTCGGACTATAGAGGGACAACTGTATTTTATTTTTTCTTTAATAATCTCTAATTTAATTTAATATTCTCAAATATGAAAATGAATGTACTTCATCTGTTGATTTTTTTAAATGAAAATATAGATTTCTAGATGCTTTCTTGGGTGGTTTATTGGCATGAATTTGATACTTTCCTCTGCATTTGTCTTAGTTATAATTAATGGAGAACTATTCAATATTTTTGGTAACATGTTTTTATTTTTTAGCATGTCAATGTATTGGGAAAACAGAGTACTCTTCCTGCTGTTTTAAAACAAATGCATAAAATATAGCATAAATATGAATGAAAACAGAAAATGTAACAACATTTTTCAAAGTTTCTGTTAAAGTATAGTCAATAAGAGGAGTCTTTAACAACAATGTTCTAGTTACAAGGTCTATCTTGATTTGGAAAATGGTGCATACTTTTTGCTTAGGGAGATCCCAACTTTTGCAGGTTTTATGGTAGTACAATACAAGTTAATAATTTATTATTTGTTTAATGAATTTTGATTTATTTTACAGATAGTGGCTGTTTCGGAAGTTTTAAAAGATGAAGAGAAACGTAAAAGGTAATTAAGAATTTTATTTATTTTTAGAGAGAGAGATTATTTAAGTGGATAATGTTATCTTTTTAATGTCTATGCAAGAGCTGTACAGTCTTAATGTCTCAAATTTGTTTGTTATGGGTGAGTCTAAACCACGATTACCAGTTTGGATAAGGGATAGGGAATGACATCCTGATCTGATCATTGAGCCTTGGTTGATTTCAATTGTGGATTGCTCCTAGCAGTATGATAATATTGCAATTATATATTTAATTAATTACAACAAATACCTAATTAATTTGGCAAAGGATTATTCAAACTAACATTTTCAGTTATTTTTATTTATTTAATTAATCTAATTTTGCTTATTTTTAAATATTTTTGGTTCATAGTTACCTTTAAGTTATACCACAATATGTAATATAAAAAGGTGCATAGATGAAAAAACAATGGAATGTACAGTACACAGTATTGTGATATCAGTATACACAGTACAGTGAACATATCCGTACTGTTCAATTAGATATGATTTTAACAGCACAGATGTTTGCTATTTTAGTCTCTATCAGTTATTCTCCATTTTAAATTAATTATAAATTGAAAATGAAATCATTTAATTTTAATTCAATCATATGGAAAGTAATATGCAAACATGAGGATGGAGATCATGCAAACAATATCCAATTGGATAACTGATCAATGGTAGCTCTAGTTATTCAACAGATTTTGGCCAGATTACCAGGATAATGCCATATTAGGACATTTCTGGACCATGTATTGCATTGTCTGAGAGCTCTAGCACTTCAACTCATTTGGATAATTGATGATGATCTATCTTTCTCTCTATATATCTTCAATTGATAAATTAGAAGTCATCTCATTAGTTTCTTAAAACATATACATGGATTTCAGTTAGATTAGGAGAGGATTTTTTAGAATTTGATTTATGGAAGGATAACAACAAAATTATCTTCAGATGAATAATCAACCCAATAAATATTACTAATCAAATGTTACAGCCTGATCCTTATTAGTTACTATAAAGCTAATTAATTACTTAGATGTTAAGCAATTTGGACTAGATATATTTGGTTAAGCCACCATCTTGTGTTAAATTTAATAATTAGAAATAAACATATTTAATTTAAAATTTCTGGAAGTAAAGATCAGATTCAAGTCCCACTCTGGGCTGATCCTTTTTTTCTTGAATATTCTAAATTAAATTTGGTTATTTCTAATTTTAGCCACAATAGTCTGATGTTCAGCAACATAAAGAAGTGCTTTTTAGCAGTTTTTTATGCAGATAATGGACAAAAATAATTTTCACTTCATGCTGAGATTGTTATACATGAGAAAAATCACACTTAACTGACATTAAAACAAGTATTTGTTAAAAATTGTGAGTACTTTTGAAGACAAACAGCATTTGACATCGGCAAAAATTGAACACAAATTTTAAACTTGCAATGTTTCTTTTTTAAAATTAAATAAAGGCATCAGATTAGAATATCAAATATTCAATAAAATTTGAACAGTCTAATAAAATAAGATGCACATGGAATTATCAATGACAATATAAATTTCTAGTATAAAGATCTTTAAAGCATCTACAATGTGAATTGTTTAAATAATTCTATCCATAAATGCAGAATATCAATGGTAGGGGTATTGCAGGGTGAAAATGATGCAATATTAAGATTTTCCCATAAGAATAACATTCTTTTATCAATAATACTAGATTACTGCCTCAGTAATCTAGTATTAGTTCAAAGGGACACATAGCCATGCCCACTACTCTTTTTGAAAGCTCAGTTGTGAGTTTATTATTGGCAATATCCTCTTAATGTGCTGCTACCTTAATTTGCAACATTCCAGATATGGCTCCAATGTACATTAATGTTATTCCTGATAATGGCTTTACAACAGAATTGTGTAAACTCTGATTTGTCTGTATGTCATCGAAAGTACTTACAATTTTTAATAAATACATGTTTTTTATGTCAGTTAAGTATGATTTTTCTCCTGTGTAACAATCCCCATGTGAAGTGAAAATTGTTTTTGTCAATTATTTCTAATTATTAAACTTAACACAGGATGGTGACTTTTCCTACCCTGAGTCAAGCTCAACAGCCTCATAATAATCCAATAAGAACCAAGCTATAATGTTTGATTAGAAAAGTTATTTTTTTGTATTTCCTAGGGTTAGCATGCCTTGGGAATACAAGAAAATGGAGGAATTCTGGAAGAATGGAATAATGATATACAATAAATTATGGCCTGTTTTATTAGCTAAACCTAAAGCCTGGAATTATTTAGGAAAATTCTATAATATAACTATGTAACTTTTTAAGCTCTGAAAATTTCTTCTTTCTACTTACCTCTCAAGCTACAAGGAGAATTATATAGCAAAACCAATCAAACAATTTTTTCTTTAGTTGAATTCATCTCAAATGGATTAAGGCAATTTTGACCAATCTTGTGTTTAAAGAGTTAATAGCTTAATTCTAGTCTGCAAATAATTCTGTATTTTAGATGTATTTGGAATCATAAGGTATGTAATATTAACTTTGTAATATGAAATATTTCTTATCTAATGAGATATGATATGCTTTGGATAGCAAGTCATGAGTGTATTTCATGATATTAAGGTATGCTAGAGAGAGTGCTGAGTAAAAACATTAGGAAATGTTGAGCTACAGACTTAAAAATTAGCTTCAGTTTAGTTGTAGATTTATAATACTTCACTGTAATTCGATATTATAAAAAATAGCACTGTTTTTTTTAATTAAAAATTTAATTTTTCTTTTGTAGATATGATCTCATATTACAGAATGGTCTTCCAGATTGGCGTCAACCTGTTTATTACTACAGAAGGGTCAGAAAGATGAGTTTGTGGGAGCTGTCATTTTTTCTGTTTACATTGATTACATTAGGACAGTATTTATTAGCATGGTCAATATATTGGGAGAAAAAATATGAATTGGTAATTTTGTTGTTTTTTTTAAATTAATGAAATTTCATTTTTTTATGATATAATTGTGTAATTGATAAATCTTGCATAAATGAAAAGCACTTGCTTTTAACAATTAAATCCTCATGTTAAATCACACATTTTAATTTAATTCCTCTGTAATTACAAATTAATTTCATTTCTAAGCTTTAAATTATGTCTTCTAATCTAAATTTCTCTCAAATTTAAAAATCTTTCTTCAAGTCAAAAGAAACCACGATTTTTAGGCAAATTACAGACAATTATATTAAATGTAGTCAGAAATAATGAAAATATTGAATGAAATAATGATGTCAAAATGAAATTTATATCTTATATCTTATCTTATCATTATTTTAAACAACAAAGCTGTTTAAAATAATGAAAATGATAAAAATAGTGTAGTAAATCTCCATTGATATTGAAGAGAATGTTTCATCAGATCCTCTTAACTAGAGGTTTCCAGCCTTTTTTGTGTATTGATTCCTTTCAGGAAAAAATTTTTTCATTGACCTCTATTTATATAATTTTTTAATATATTTTTTATACTTGGAAAGTTTTGAAAATGATAGTGAAAATGTTTTCAAGAATTTTTAAATGATTTGTATTTACTAAACAATTAAACAATATTAAAATATTATATTGTACCGTATATGCATGTGCAATATGTATATAATTTGCTCATCCATCTGTAGGAGTCAATACTGACCCCATTGGAAAACCCTTCTCTTAACCAATTATTTTGCTAGAAATTGACCTAACATTTTTTGATGACTATCATGAGAGTTACTTACTTGTATAATTTGATCAAATGCTTTTCTTGGATTAAAAGGTAAAGCCAAATCAGTTACACTGAAGATAACTTTGAATTTTTACTATGGTTTATTCTCTAGTCAGACACCTGAAGATAGGTCGTATAAACCTGAAAATGCTTGAGTATTCATCTTTTATGCTTATTTTTTTCACTTCAAAAAAGCATTTTTGTCAAATAATTTTCATATTATTACACTCATTATTTAATACAAAAGTGTTCTAATGTATATTTTCAATAGTTTCTCATAAACAATTCAGTGGATATGACAAAACAATACTTTCATTTCTCAACAAATTGTCAATTAAGTGAATTCAGAGTATTTGTATTTTTATTTGAACAATATAATTAATTACACATTAGTAATAATTTAGAAGGATTTCAGATCTTGTATAATCTCAGATATTGTGAGATTATACAAGATCTTTTTAAATTATATAGAAGAGCATTTTGTGAGATCTTTTTATATAAAAGAAATCTTACAAGATTATGCTTTTATAGGATCTTATGGAACCTAAAATTACCATTAGATAATTTGTAAAGAAAGATAATGTACTATTCACTCTGATAACTTAAGCTGAATTATTTAATTCACCTTTAATGGTAGAAAGCTAGACACCAACCAAAACCAAATATTATTGGGCTAGAAATGGCTATAATACTAATAATTTAAAAGACAATTTGGCATTAGAGTTAGGCATTAGGTACCATCTCTTGATAAATTTAATAATTATAATTTAATTAAATAATTTAAATAATTTTAGAATTACTCGAAGAAAAGAATTGGCCCAAAGTGGGACTCAAACCCACAACTCCTGCTTACTGTGCAGATGTATTACCCTACCTGGACTTTCGGTTCAATCTTCTCTTCTGTTATAGCCATTTCTAGCCCGATAATATTCAGCTTTGGTTGGTGTCTAGCTTTAAACATATTGGGTGTAGTAATGATATTTGATTATTTAATGGTAGAATTTTAAAAAATAAGCATGCTGACATTTTTGACTCAGTTGACTTCTCAGGCATGGACAGTTGAAAGATAGAGCACTCCTTTTGATTATCCATAGCTGAGGATGGCCTATCAACTGGGTCAAAAATGTTAGTACCTTTTTTTTTTTTTTTTTTTTTTTAGATTTTACCATTCACTGTTAAAGGAACATTAAGTAATTCAGCTTTATGAAGAAATATGCATTATCAAAGGCTGAATATCTGAATATATCATTACACCTTTTCTTTTAATAATATATGGATGCTCCTAATTATTTAATATAATAAAGCTACGTTCACTAACATGAGACTCATAGAATTGGCAGATTGAGTATTGGCTGATTGCATTGACTGATTATCATTGACAGAGATATACAAGATCTCCGAAATAAATAAAATGTTTTAATCTGATCACAAATGGAGGAAATTAATATCTAATCACAACAAGTCACATCTGTGTTCTATTACTCTCCTGGAAAATTTTTAGTAGATCTATTGTGTTGGATATCATCCTGATGTTCTAAAATTCTACTGAAAAACATTCCAGATGTTTCCCCAATGTATGAAAAAGCAGCAATACCTGAACCTTGTTTCCAAAAAATTTGGTAGATTACAATAAATTTGGGAGAACTTACCTTTGAGGTTTATTATAAGTTTGATCATCTTCCTATAATCATTTCCTACACCTCAATCACTTCAGTATGTAAGCATGGTATTGGAGCCTTAATATGTGGTGTGTACTTACTTCCCTCCATCCAGCATCTAATAGACAGAGAAATAAAGTTACTTAACATTGCAATTAGAATATTGTTGGCTATAAAGAGGGCAAATATAAATACATTGGAGCTAGAGTCTGTAGAACCTTATTTTTAATGTCCACTATGCTTAGTAAGCATGACAAATTTATGCACAGTTCTGTCTGTACATAGGGCATGTCACGTTGATGCTCTATGTACAGAACTATGTATAAATTCGTCATGCTTACATCTCATCCACTTGTTTAGTAAATGTGGCTACTATCTTTCCATCAAACCACAGTCCATCCTAAGGAGATTAATATCTAATGACAGGGACTCTTACACTTTTGAGAAGCCAGTGATTTATCAAATTCCTTTGAGACAAGCTTCAGGCCTGTTACTTTTTCATACATTGGGGCAACACTGGAATGCTTTTGAATAGAATTTCAGAACATTAGAATGATATTCAACACAACAGATCTATCACAGAACTGTCCAAGAAAGTACTAGAACATGGATATGACTTGTTGTGGATGGATGTTCATTTACTCTGTTTATTTTCAGATAAAAACATTTTTATTTATTTTGGAAACCTTGTGTATCATGGTATCTAACTAACATGAAATGTTTTTTAGTAGAAGCAGGCTTCTTACAGAGAAATGAAATAGTATAGTTGAAGGGAGGCCAAATACTGAAATCACAAAAGTAAAAAGTAATTTTGAGACTTTACAATGTCTCAAAATTCAATTTTTGACATGTCATAAAATGAGATTGTAATCAAATGTCAATTAATTTAAGCACAATCTGCTTATATTTATTAAATTTCTGTAGATTGCATTCTCCAGTTCCTTACTTTTTATCAAGGAAAAATGCCTTATGCTTAATTTTAAGAATTCATTTATTTTAACATTGAGTATCTTGTTGATTTTGTCTGTATTATTATTAATTACACCATTTTCTTTTGTCTTGAGATTGCTTATTTAATTTTTAAAATATTATTTTCAATTATTTAATTAATGTAATCAGGGTTTCCAATAGTGTGCATACATGTACAGTACACTATATATCACACTTAACAATTCAGATTCATACAAAAATTTTGACCACGCAATATGTCCCTACCAGTTTTGACCATTTCTTATCTTTTCTTCCACAGTTCTGAGTTCCAAACATTTTTAGTATAATACTAGGAGCCTCATGACACAGACCATAAATATACTGGATATATACTGATAGATAGTCTGTATTAAATTTTTTATGTTGCAATTTGTGCAACATTACAGTTAAGTAAAAAAAATACATTAAAAGACTAAAATGTCTTCACTTTTGCCATGTCCAATCACCAGGAACAACAGTCTTCCACTGCAGAGTCAACCTTTCAAAAGAAATATTGTATTTTTAATTGTTAAATTGTTTTGGGCTTGTCACTGGAGAACTTTCAGACTGTTTTGCATGTTTTTGCACAGGCATAGCTTCTAAAGAAAGGTCATTTCTGCAGTGGAAGACTGTTATTCCTGGTGATTGGACATGGCGAAAGTGAAGACATTTTAGTCATTTTATGTATTTTTTTACTAATGTATAAATTTGTCAACCTATATTTTCAAAATTACAGTTAAGTATTTATAAGTATATTTAAAAATTGGTATATGTTAATAAAACAAAGAAGTACTTTTAGTTTAAGGAATAGTAACCCATCAGTGGCCAAGTGGATAAAACCACTAAACACTGATAGTTGGTTGTGGGTTCACACTTTGTCAACAAGCTGGCCATGTGAAATTTTCCAGATTTTCTTCACATTTGTAATACCTAAATAGGGATCAGTCTCCCTTAGAAAGTCCTTCCAGGAGACACCCCAGCAGATTGCCCAAGTGTTGCATTGCCATATAAAAATAAACCAAACCATTATATATTTAAGGAATTAGTGATCATTCATTAAAAATAAAATATATGAAAAGAACTCAGTTGGATTTTTTGCAAGCAGAATATAAGAAGACAATGGCATAATACTTCACTTGTCATTGTATGGGATAACATTGCTCCTTCACAATGCTTTATGAAGGTGTTACAGTTCAGTTCAGTCCACTTTATGCCTCCTAACCTCATTTTCTCCCATAGTTTTTATACCTGATATTGAAGTGATCTCTAGCTTAGAGAACTCACAGAAGGATTTCTTCTGCTGGTAATATGGACAGTATATAGCAAAGGAAGGGATTCTAAGGCACAGTATATTTGGAGTTTTCTATGTGAATATAACTGTTGGTTATGTGGAAACAACATCATTGTCGTGAGGGCTGAAAATACAAGAATTTTATGTTGGTCAAATACTCCATATACAACCAAAGAATGCTAGAGTATATCATGAGCACCGAATATCAACTTGTAAAGAATCCAAGAAGTTGCTGTGATGGACTTTCAGGCTTTCTATCTTTCCAAGCCTAACAACTTCTTAGATTATTTACAAGAAAGGGTAAAAAGGAGCATTATCAGCCCATTAGTAGGTATTCTATTTGCAGAATTCAATCATCCATGTGCCTAAAGTTTCCCATATATTTGCCTTCACAAAAACACTTAAGTCCGAAACACAAATATGTCTGGTAATTGAGAAATCTTTTCTCATCAATGTTTTTGATGGGGAAATAGCTAGTTAAATTTTACAACTGTAAAGCCTTACATCATCCCTTTACCATTAGCAACACATTACAATTGTTGCACTGTCTTAATGACATTTTATTGGTTGACAAGGGGTACACAACTGTGATGGACTTTCAGGCTCTCTATCTTTCCATTGAATTACTGTCTTGTTATTATACTGTTAGGGATTTCCTTCTCACCAATGTGGAAGCTGCCCATAAGTATCACCAATATATTTTGGAACTTGCTCTTCTTGTGTGCTGTTACTTATTTTTCTTATTTGAAAATGCGATCTACATATAAAGAACATGGACGGTTTCACCTCAGGAATCTTGTGTGAGCTTGTCATCCACCATTTAGAAAAGGAAATACTGTCAGAATTCCATCTTATTTTGATTTACACTCAGTGTGTCAATGATATATTCATATTGTGGTGCAAGAAACCAGATCTGCATCTTTTTCTATGTAAGCACAACAACTATCTTTATTGTCTTTTACTAAAGTTGGAGCAAGAGAGTAATACAGTGATCCACTTTTTAGACATGTCCATCACATGCAAGGATGGTGGAATTTATACCAATAGTTACCAAAAATCCACATATCAACTCATTTTCATTCCATACAATTCAGTTGACCCATTCTGCATAAAACTTTTGGCATTCAGGTTGTTAATACAAAGAGTATTTACCCATTGCACAAGTATCTTGGAGATCTTTATCAAACTCAAGTTACAAGTGGATAAAGCTAACATTACCCAAAAATGGATGGATGAAGTAAGAACAAAACTAAAATTTGGGTTTTATCTGGTTAATAAATAAATACAGTAGAGCATCAATTATCCGAATCAATTGGGGACTGGGGTTGTTCGGGAAATCAGTTTTTCGGATAACCAATTATGTACGAAAAAATACATTATTAATATAGTATATTAATATATCCCAATAATAGTATATTAATACAGTAGACCCCCTATAACGCGGGTTCATATAATGCGAATTCGTATATCGCGGTGAAAAAATTGCAACCGTATTCATATAAAGATGCTAAAAGAGACTCATAAAATGCAGTAAAATGTCATCGCTGACTCATGTTGCAACAGGATTGGGCAAATCTGGACCAATAATGGATGAGCAGCTGAACAACTACTTACATGCTACAGAGAGTTTAGGTGGGTAAGTTGAGTATACTATCGTCTGTACAATATATAGGCCTAAATTAGATACTGTAAGTCTAATACAGTACTGTAATTTTATACATTTCTTGTGAAAAAAACATTTATTATTTAATGGCCATAAAAATTATATTTCTATTAATGATGTCTCCAAAGTTCAATGAATTTTTCGCAGAAAAATAACTTATCAGAAAACGCGCCCGCCGTTTGGTGCGCTGCTTCATGACGAAAACAAGCTTAAGCAATGGCGTGGTTGAACAGTGCTCACTCGGTAAGTAATCCTACAATTTTTTGTTTATAGTATAGTTTATACAGATTATTCCCAAAAATTATACTTTATATTATAAAATTATATTTGGAAATGTTGAGTCAAATTAGTCTAGAATTGATTAATTTTATGGAAGAAAACCTTTCAAACAGCCATAGTCCGTAAATTGCACATGTGCCGGGCTGTGATTGGCTCATGTATTTAAGGATTCCTACAACACGAAATTCTTATAAAGTGNTTCGTGTACGCACCAGACGGAAAAACAAAAAATATCGTGTATCCACAAAGCACTCCAATAAATAAATAAAATTGAAACGACACTTTGAAATGTTTTCCCGATGAAAATGAATAATAATAATAAGTTTCAATAAAAATGATGAAATGTAAATTTAATTTTATCATAACGAGTTTGCTTGAATTCCATTTCTTCTGAGATCGCAGCAATGCGCGATGGGTAAGCTAGTTATAAATAAAAATAGAACATATTATAATAGTTGTTAAATGCCTGATTCTTTATAGTTAATGTACACTATAAAAAATCAGCACAATTAACAGGGAATTCATCTGCCATCTAGTGAGAGAAAATAAATTAAAATTCACTTATTGTCTGATGTATTAAGCAAAAAGTGCTGACATCAATAGGAAATATATTGATTGGTTTAACTAAATCAACGTCACATGTGATGTTCTTAAGTCGATTCTTTCCACAGACGGACTAGAAATAGATTTTATATCTTTAGAACTCAAAAGTTTTTCTTTCTGATCTTGAAGGAATGGCAATAAATTATTTAGATAAATCTAACTAAATTACAAATAAACTAATTTATACATTAAAAATATTTTTATGATAAATTGTATTTTGTTATCAATTTATAGTATAATTTTGATTTGGATTATATCATTACAACTGAATTAATTTTGTTTAAATTGTTTCTAATGCAGTCTGCTTCTAGTAATGACATTCGTAAAGCATACAGGCGTCTTTCTCTACAATATCATCCGGATAAAAACAAAGATGAAGGTGCCGTGGAAATGTTCAGAAAAGTAAGAATAATATTGAAAATAATTTAATAGATTTATTTTATTTATAAATACAGTAAAACCTGTGGAAGCTAGAATTGCATGGGACTCTATAAACTTTGCCTTAGTTATGATGGAGCAAGAAAGTATTTGTTGCTTCAAAATGTGAACATATTTTTGAATATAGACATAGTATTTGCTACTTTCATTGACATGACCTTAAAATAAAAGGAAAGAATGCAGATAATAAAATATACCTTTGTGTATACAGTTGTCCCTTGATAATCCGACAGGTATGGGACCAAAGGTGTGTCAGATTACCNTGGCTATTGTATCTTTAAAAATCATTTCTTTATTTTGTACAAGCAAAATAAATATATTGAAAAATATAAAAACAAAAAAAATTATACTTTAGAAGTTAATCTAGTATCAAAAACGTTTGATTCAGCACGATACAATCCGACTGGAACGCTTTCGGTTAACCAATGTTTCGGTTGATCGGCATTTGGATAATTGATGCTCTAACCTACACATTATATGTACACAGTGTAAAACATAATAAACATTTTTTTTCAATTGGTATTTTATGAATTTTTGACAGAATGGAACATTTTCCTGGACTTTTTCAGAATCCCCCACTTAATTGTGCTAAAAGGGATGCATCTCTCTTGCATACCAAAGCATGATGGGCATCCTGATGATGATATAAAACTAATGTTATTTATATAAAAAAATTTGTATAAATTGTAATACAAAACATTGGGGTTGGACTACTGAAATGGGGAAAAAACCTCTAGTATTGAAATAAAACTGAACTAGATTTTCAAATACTGGCAGTTTATTGTTTGTTTAAAATTACTAGTTTGTGCAAATTGTTGTTCTTAATGATACATAATTATCAATCATCAGATGGCAAAGCCAGTTAAGGCATTGGCTTACCACTCTGGAGGACCTGGGATCAAATCTTGACAGTCCATCATGAAGATATCAGACCCCATCTATCACCATCCAGTCACCCTCTATTTGGGCCAGGCCAAATGCTCGATGGACATGAAAAAAAGATCCTCTTAATGCCTACAGGACAGAAAGAGCCAAAGATTAAAAAGAAACTGCATAATTGTCAAAAAAGCAATAATAGTAAATTATATTAAATCTACAATAAAATATTGTAAATTATATTAGAGGGCATCAGATTTTAAAATGAAATATCATGGCTACTACACACGTGAATTATGAGATTCTGACAAATATTGCTTTCTTTATGAAGATCCACTGTGAGCTCTCAACAGTCTGTGGATGGCCATATATCATTTTTTATTATGAAAATATTTTTAAAATATAAGGCAACTTAATTTTGATTTAAATTGGTTATAAGCTCAACTTAATTTTTACATACCTAAGGAGCAGCAGTTTTTAGAAGATAAAGAAGACAAAAAAAAATAAATCATTACTTTTTTACAATACTAACAAGTATAGTTTTAAGCCCATGCCCTTTAAAGTTAACTGCTCTGTGTGTTAAACAAAACTTCCATATGTTCTGTTTAAATTGCTTGTTGTTATTGTTTTTAAACCGTTTAACATTATTAAAATAGGAAGAAGTTCTAATATCAAGATTCCGGAAGAAGGAAAAAAAATCACGAAGGAACAAGCAAGGATTGGGCGAAGAATCACTAATAGCCGAACACATCAATCAACTTCCAAAACCAAGGTAATTTTTGTTTATTTAAATTCCTTTTTAAATATGTATCAGGTTTTATAACATTTTATATGAATGTTCAAAATAATAATCAATAATATTATTTATTTATTTTTAATATTTGAAGACAAAATTCGCCCAATTCGGAATCACCAGTTATTAACTTTGCATTCCAGACAATACATTTTCGGCGACTGACCTTCCTTTCTAGGCTACTAGTCGCTAAAAAGTCCTTTTAAGAACACAAAAATTTTTGTATTTTTAATTGAAAATTTTTGTGTTTTTAAAAGGCCTTTTTAGCTTTTTGGTGGCTAGTAGTCTAGAAAGGAAGGTCGGTTGCTGAAAATGTATTGTCTGGAATGCAAAGTTAATAAATGGTGATTCCGACTTGGGTGAATTTTGTCTTCAAATATTAAAAATGAAAAGAACCATCAGGCGAAAAAATTTACGAATTTATTTATTTATTAGTTCTTTTGTTTTCTCAAGATGCTTACTTTTGTCTGGTAGAAAGGCAGCATCTTCAAATAAAATACATTTTGAAAATCTGTGTCTGTTAACTACTTGAATTTGAATATATAACTATTTTTAAAATGTAAGGCATTATATTAATTTTATCAGTCAGAATGTTTTTGTCAACAATAACCACATTTAACAGTCATAGACTGAAAGATTTTATAAAAATTTTCATATTTAACAGACAGATGATTGAAAGAGAAAACCAACCTTAAACAATAAAATTTTTAAATTTACACAAAGCATTTCTTTTTCTTATCTTTGTTGTTATTAATGATTATTGTTAAATGGGAGAAGTTTTAATTGTTAGTGCATGCTTTCATGTCATAGATAGCATAAGAATCTCAAATTAATGCATTCTCTAGTCCAGTGGTTCCCAAACTTTTCTACAATATGCCTCCCCATCTGGGCTCACATGCAATTTTGCCATCCCCCCAAATTATGCTTAAGTGTTTATTGCTCTGTATTCGATATTTATTTTTTTTGTTACAAATTAAATGATACCAGTAAAGTTTGATTGAAAATATGAAGCAAAAATACAATTGCACTAGTAAAAATATAAATACCTACCTACAGCACTTTACACAAACAAAATGGGTAATATCTGTACACAGTGTACAACCAGGAATTTATTTCTTCTGAATAAAGTTATAATAATGTAAATTAAAATATTTTCCATATTTTCATAAACTGTAAACATCGATGTGAAATTTGAGCTTGTTTTGAATTGCACAAAACAATTGGTGTTTATTTCTAACTCTGTCAGTCCCACATTCAGATAATTTTATTGTCAGAGCTACAGCTTTCACTCGAGTTACAAGGCCACTAGTTTCCCTGCCATGGCTGCAATGCCATCAGTACATAATCCAAGTCAAACCTTCGGCATAGACAAATTTGTTAAGTAAGCAAATATCTTTGCTTGAAGTTGTTGTTTGGATCATTTTACAAAATGCTAACTCTTCTCTTATATTTCCTTCCATGGCATCTCATGTAACAAATAAGCTGAGCCTGTGATGAAATAGCATTTGATTCATCAAGATGCAACATAAATATTTGACTTTGATTTACATTTTCAAATTCATAGCCAAGTCGACTTTTGTATCTTTAAAAATCATTTCTTTATTTTGTACAAGCAAAATAAATATATTGAAAAATATAAAAACAAAAAAAATTATACTTTAGAAGTTAATCTAGTATCAAAAACGTTTGATTCAGCACGATACAATCCGACTGGAACGCTTTCGGTTAACCAATGTTTCGGTTGATCGGCATTTGGATAATTGATGCTCTAACCTACACATTATATGTACACAGTGTAAAACATAATAAACATTTTTTTTCAATTGGTATTTTATGAATTTTTGACAGAATGGAACATTTTCCTGGACTTTTTCAGAATCCCCCACTTAATTGTGCTAAAAGGGATGCATCTCTCTTGCATACCAAAGCATGATGGGCATCCTGATGATGATATAAAACTAATGTTATTTATATAAAAAAATTTGTATAAATTGTAATACAAAACATTGGGGTTGGACTACTGAAATGGGGAAAAAACCTCTAGTATTGAAATAAAACTGAACTAGATTTTCAAATACTGGCAGTTTATTGTTTGTTTAAAATTACTAGTTTGTGCAAATTGTTGTTCTTAATGATACATAATTATCAATCATCAGATGGCAAAGCCAGTTAAGGCATTGGCTTACCACTCTGGAGGACCTGGGATCAAATCTTGACAGTCCATCATGAAGATATCAGACCCCATCTATCACCATCCAGTCACCCTCTATTTGGGCCAGGCCAAATGCTCAATGGACATGAAAAAAAGATCCTCTTAATGCCTACAGGACAGAAAGAGCCAAAGATTAAAAAGAAACTGCATAATTGTCAAAAAAGCAATAATAGTAAATTATATTAAATCTACAATAAAATATTGTAAATTATATTAGAGGGCATCAGATTTTAAAATGAAATATCATGGCTACTACACACGTGAATTATGAGATTCTGACAAATATTGCTTTCTTTATGAAGATCCACTGTGAGCTCTCAACAGTCTGTGGATGGCCATATATCATTTTTTATTATGAAAATATTTTTAAAATATAAGGCAACTTAATTTTGATTTAAATTGGTTATAAGCTCAACTTAATTTTTACATACCTAAGGAGCAGCAGTTTTTAGAAGATAAAGAAGACAAAAAAAAATAAATCATTACTTTTTTACAATACTAACAAGTATAGTTTTAAGCCCATGCCCTTTAAAGTTAACTGCTCTGTGTGTTAAACAAAACTTCCATATGTTCTGTTTAAATTGCTTGTTGTTATTGTTTTTAAACCGTTTAACATTATTAAAATAGGAAGAAGTTCTAATATCAAGATTCCGGAAGAAGGAAAAAAAATCACGAAGGAACAAGCAAGGATTGGGCGAAGAATCACTAATAGCCGAACACATCAATCAACTTCCAAAACCAAGGTAATTTTTGTTTATTTAAATTCCTTTTTAAATATGTATCAGGTTTTATAACATTTTATATGAATGTTCAAAATAATAATCAATAATATTATTTATTTATTTTTAATATTTGAAGACAAAATTCGCCCAATTCGGAATCACCAGTTATTAACTTTGCATTCCAGACAATACATTTTCGGCGACTGACCTTCCTTTCTAGGCTACTAGTCGCTAAAAAGTCCTTTTAAGAACACAAAAATTTTTGTATTTTTAATTGAAAATTTTTGTGTTTTTAAAAGGCCTTTTTAGCTTTTTGGTGGCTAGTAGTCTAGAAAGGAAGGTCGGTTGCTGAAAATGTATTGTCTGGAATGCAAAGTTAATAAATGGTGATTCCGACTTGGGTGAATTTTGTCTTCAAATATTAAAAATGAAAAGAACCATCAGGCGAAAAAATTTACGAATTTATTTATTTATTAGTTCTTTTGTTTTCTCAAGATGCTTACTTTTGTCTGGTAGAAAGGCAGCATCTTCAAATAAAATACATTTTGAAAATCTGTGTCTGTTAACTACTTGAATTTGAATATATAACTATTTTTAAAATGTAAGGCATTATATTAATTTTATCAGTCAGAATGTTTTTGTCAACAATAACCACATTTAACAGTCATAGACTGAAAGATTTTATAAAAATTTTCATATTTAACAGACAGATGATTGAAAGAGAAAACCGACCTTAAACAATAAAATTTTTAAATTTACACAAAGCATTTCTTTTTCTTATCTTTGTTGTTATTAATGATTATTGTTAAATGGGAGAAGTTTTAATTGTTAGTGCATGCTTTCATGTCATAGATAGCATAAGAATCTCAAATTAATGCATTCTCTAGTCCAGTGGTTCCCAAACTTTTCTACAATATGCCTCCCCATCTGGGCTCACATGCAATTTTGCCATCCCCCCAAATTATGCTTAAGTGTTTATTGCTCTGTATTCGATATTTATTTTTTTTGTTACAAATTAAATGATACCAGTAAAGTTTGATTGAAAATATGAAGCAAAAATACAATTGCACTAGTAAAAATATAAATACCTACCTACAGCACTTTACACAAACAAAATGGGTAATATCTGTACACAGTGTACAACCAGGAATTTATTTCTTCTGAATAAAGTTATAATAATGTAAATTAAAATATTTTCCATATTTTCATAAACTGTAAACATCGATGTGAAATTTGAGCTTGTTTTGAATTGCACAAAACAATTGGTGTTTATTTCTAACTCTGTCAGTCCCACATTCAGATAATTTTATTGTCAGAGCTACAGCTTTCACTCGAGTTACAAGGCCACTAGTTTCCCTGCCATGGCTGCAATGCCATCAGTACATAATCCAAGTCAAACCTTCGGCATAGACAAATTTGTTAAGTAAGCAAATATCTTTGCTTGAAGTTGTTGTTTGGATCATTTTACAAAATGCTAACTCTTCTCTTATATTTCCTTCCATGGCATCTCATGTAACAAATAAGCTGAGCCTGTGATGAAATAGCATTTGATTCATCAAGATGCAACATAAATATTTGACTTTGATTTACATTTTCAAATTCATAGCCAAGTCTAATTAATTAAAATGCCTCAATGTCCTTTTTCTTACTAAAATATAAATTTTCGTCTATTATTTCGTATCTTCTATTATCAGGACTTATTATACTGGCTTTACAGATAATACTACAAAGTTTTACAGAAAACAATTTTTTATTTTATTTAATATACCTGGACACATACATAATTTTGCATTTTGGACACATTTGTCCCTCCTCAGCAGGTATTTTTGTATATTCTATAAACAATAAAATACATATTTAAAATTACATTTAAAATTTACTGACAAAAGTATTTAATAAAATTCTTACAGTTTTCAGGTTTTCTTTTATTTTTAACTCAACTGGATATTCAAATTTGACCAACAAAAATAGTATTACTGTGATCTTAAATCTGTATTAAACAAATTATATTAACATTATCTCAGTTTTTTTACATTTGTTTACTA